ATATATATATATATATATATAAATTTTGATTAAAAGTTAATTTAATAATTAAATGTATTACTTGCCATTTCTTTGTAGTTATTTTTTCTTTGCAGTTATTACTAGTAATTTCTTAGTGGAAGTAGTTTCTACACCATTTTTAAGTATATGTGTATATATATAAACTAATATGTTTATATCATAAAATATATATGAATGTTCATTTTTCGGGCTGCTTGTAGTGGTTCTAACCCTGTTTTTTACACCCACAACTGTGAAACTGTGGTATACTCTTGTGTATGCCATAAATATCAGATTATCTTTATGTGACTGTACCTGTAAATATGAGGTTTGGACTTGGACTGATATGAAGTGTCCTGGATGTCTCTGCCGGTAGCTTCAGGGTTTTAAAAATGTGTAGATGTACTGCATGCTAGCACAGATTTTGTTCTGCTTCTATATTGAGAACATTAGATCCTGAGCTTGCTGAGGCATGAGTGAGCAGCTGTAGTGTGTTTCCTGCGTGTGCGGGGGGGGGGGTTATTTTTGAGAGCAGGGCATCACTTTGCTTCAGCTTACATTTCCCAAATAATATGACTGAGGGAGAACAAGATCACTCAGACCAAGATTTTCATTTTTACGTTGTTTACTGGCTTCAAGACATATGTAGTTTAGCGCCCCTTGTTTTGATCTATTTCCTGCATCTGTTTCCAGGCTACCTGCTTATTTAGAAGGGGGGTCTGACTGTGTAGGTGCTGACGTGGGGTTTCATTAAATCTGCAGCGCAGAGCCCGGTTGCAGACTGATAGCGTGGACTGCATTAGTTTGGTTACAGTGAGTATACAAAGACACTTTATTTGTGAGTGAGTCTCTGTCTCAGACCCGAGAACCATTCCAACATCCACATCTAACTCATCTAATTGGTCTGCCATGACTACAAATGACTACGTTGACCTTGAAGTGGATTCTATCTCATACACACGCACACACTGCTATCGCTTCCCTCTCTCACACACATACTTTCTATTTTCAGGCCTCTGCTCAGTTCATTTTGTGATTGCCACATGGATCTCCTGGGACTGCCTGCTGATCTACTGTGCACAGGGTGTGGATGTGCACTGTGAATCGTAGATGGTGGTAGAGAGCCTCGTGGTAACAGTAAGCCACAAACAGTTGCAGTATGGTAGCTATATGTTTAAAATAGATCAAAATCATCTCGATCTGACCCAGAGTAATGCTGCAAAAGATTTTTTTCTTCTCAGAGAAGAAACCATGGGTGCAGCAGGCGCAATGATATTACGCAGCGCCTGAAAATAGGCTTATTGGAAGTTACCTAGCTTAAGCTTTTTTTCAGGCGCTGCGTAATATCATTGCGCCTGCTGCACCCATGGTTTCTTCTCTGAGAAGAAAAAAATCTTTTGCAGCATTACTCTGGGTCAGATCGAGATGATTTTGATCTATTTTAAACATATAGCTACCATACTGCAACTGTTTGTGGCTTACTGTTACCACGAGGCTCTCTACCACCATCTACGATTCACAGTGCACATCCACACCTTGTGCACAGTAGATCAGCAGGCAGCCCCAGGAGATCCATGTGGCAATCACAGAATGAACTGAGCAGAGGCCTGAAAATAGAAAGTATGTGTGTGAGAGAGGGAAGCGATAGCAGTGTGTGCGTGTGTATGAGATAGAATCCACTTCAAGGTCAACGTAGTCATTTGTAGTCATGGCAGACCAATTAGATGAGTTAGATGTGGATGTTGGAATGGTTCTCGGGTCTGAGACAGAGACTCACTCACAAATAAAGTGTCTTTGTATACTCACTGTAACCAAACTAATGCAGTCCACGCTATCAGTCTGCAACCGGGCTCTGCGCTGCAGATTTAATGAAACCCCACGTCAGCACCTACACAGTCAGACCCCCCTTCTAAATAAGCAGGTAGCCTGGAAACAGATGCAGGAAATAGATCAAAACAAGCGGCACTAAACTACATATGTCTTGAAGTCAGCCCAGACAACGTAAAAATAAAAATCTTGTTCTGAGTAAAAGAGCCGTTCAGCTCAAACGTCGCACCTCCCTCAGTCAAATTATTTGGGAAATGTAAGCTGAAGCAAAGTGATGCCCTGTTCTCAAAAATAAACCCCCCGCACACGCAGGAAACACACTGCAGCTGCTCACTCATGCCTCAGCAAGCTCAGGATCTAATGTTCTCAATATAGAAGCAGAACAAAATCTGTGCTAGCATGCAGTACATCTACACATTTTTAAAACCCTGAAGCTACCGGCAGAGACATCCAGGACACTTCATATCAGTCCAAGTCCAAACCTCATATTTACAGGTACAGTCACATAAAGATAATCTGATATTTATGGCATACACAAGAGTATACCACAGTTTCACAGTTGTGGGTGTAAAAAACAGGGTTAGAACCACTACAAGCAGCCCGAAAAATGAACATTCATATATATTTTATGATATAAACATATTAGTTTATATATATACACATATACTTAAAAATGGTGTAGAAACTACTTCCACTAAGAAATTACTAGTAATAACTGCAAAGAAAAAATAACTACAAAGAAATGGCAAGTAATACATTTAAT